CGAGGCACACCTTGCCCTCGGGGATGCGGCGCACGCAGGCGTACACGGCCTCGTTAAAGTCGCGCCGGAACGAGGCCGCGGCCGACTCGGGGCGGTGCTCGTCGTCGTCGTCGTCGTCTGAGCTGTGGCGGCGTCGTGGTGGTGGCGCTGGGGCGTGCTGGGCTGCTGCGGTGCGCGTGCGGCGCTGGGCGGGCATGGGCGACGCGGCGGGGAGGTGGGGGAGATGAGGACGAGGGCGAGGGAGGCGAGCGAGGCGAGAGCGAGGGTCGCGAGTTGGGTCGAGGGGTGGGCTCTAGCGAACAGCGAGGCAGCTCTCAGTGCAGCGTAGCTACACCCAACAAGTCGAGCGACTGACGAGACTGGGCCAGACGAGACCGACGCCGCCTTCTCCCTCCTCGCTCAACTGCGACCACTCGCCGCTGCGTGCCTGCCACCACCACCACCATCTCGGTCGCACCTGCGCGCCACTACCTCGTGCCACCCGCACGGCCCCGAAAGGCCCGCGTCGCCCGACCCAGCCTCGCGCTTCCTCTCGCCTTGTTCTCTCGAGCGTTCGTGCGCAACCATGTCGAGCCCGCGAGCGAGCAGCCGCAGCCCGTCGCTCGACCTTCAACTCGAACCCGACTCGGACCTCGACCCGGACCTGCTCGACCCGCAACTCGCCGTGCCCATCCCTCCTCCCCACATCGCCTCGTCCCCCTCCCCTTCCTCGTCCTCGTCGTCGTCCTCCTCCACCTCGTCCTCGCACGACCTCGACCGCGACCCGCACCAAGCCCCAGGCCCAGCCCCGACGCCCGCCTCGCCGCACGCCCAGGTGTCGTGCCTCGCCCACCTCAACGCCGACGCCGACGACGCCCTCGTCGCCAACCAGGCGTACCAACACGCCCTCAAGGACGCCATGATGCGCCTAGAGCACGTCAGGAGGCGCGCAAAGGCGCTCAAGGTGCGTCGCAGGCACACCCTCGCCTTGTTCCCTCCTCTTTCCCCTCTTCCTTCTCTCTCCTCTTACCACCCTCGCCCCTCGTCCCTCTCGCTCTCACACTCGACGACGACGACGACCACGAACTGCCTAACTGACCCTCGTCTCCCACTACAGGACCTCGTCACGTCACTCTCGGCCTCTCTCGCCGCCTCGACCTCGTCCTCGGCCGCCGACCGCGACCGCGACCGCGACCGCGACGCCGCCGCCGCCGACAACGACAACGACGAGGTCGAGCCCGACCCGGACGTCGGCGCCGGACGCGCCCTCGCGCGCCTCCCCGACCGACACGTGCGCCTGCGCGCACCGGGCATGCTCGAGCCGGCCGTGCCCTACTTTCGGCACATGCATGGGCAGGACTTGCCGCTCAACGAGGACGCGAGGGCGAGGGAGAGGTACCTCCGGGCGATCCAGGCGCGCAGCTGTGCGTCCCTCTCTCCCTCTCTCCCTCTCTCGCCCTCTCTCTCCCGTCCTCCCGGCGACGCCCTCAACTGACGTGCACGTCTCGGGCCACCCACCCCGCAGGGCAGACGCACGAGCGCCTCAAGCTCAAGGGCGAGGTCGTCGCGCACAACCACCGCCTCGTCGCGCGCGAGGCCATGCTGAGGTGCGTCCTCGCTCGTCCTTCCTCCCTCGTCCTTCCTCCCTCGTCCTTCCTCCCTGTTCTTCCTCCCTCGTCGAGCCAGGCCATCCCAGGACAGCCCTGCTGACCGCGCGTGCGCCCGGCCCTGTGTGTGTGCAGGGGCGACGACCCGGCCGAGGCGGTCGCGAGCAGGAGGAGGGACGACCCCGGGTGGTTCATGCGCAACGTCGACGGGCTCGACTGGGACTCGATCGCGCTCGTGGTGCGTCCCTCTTTCTCTCTCTCTCGTCCTCTCTCTTCCTCTCTATCTCTTTCTCTCTCCTTCTCCGAGCCGAGGGTCGAGTCGAGGGTGCGGATCGAGGGTCTGGAGCACATTGGCGAAGAGAGGAGCGAGGAGGGAGAGAAGTGGCGATGGGGAGGGGGTTCGTGCGCGGGCGCTCCCTCTCTCTCTCTCGAGCCGCCTCTCGCGCCCCTCTCGCTCTCGCGCCCCTCACTGACTCACTCCCCTCTCACACGCGACGCAGATGCCGCACCGCTCGGCGGCAGCGTGCAAGATCCAGTGGCAGTCGCGCGACCACCCGTTCCTGGCGTCGCTCGGCGGCGGCGGCGGCGGTGGCGGCGGCGGCGGCGTCGAGGCGGCCAAGTGGACGGCTGACGAGCACGCGAGGCTCGTCGCTGCCGTAGAGAGGTCGGGCGGCGAGGAGGAGGGGAGGTGGGAAGAGGTGGCGAGGGATGTTGGGGTGCGTCTCTCGAGCGTTTTCTCTCTCTCTCTCTCTCTCTCTCTCTCTCCTCTCCTTTTTTCCCGCGCGCGCGACTGGCTGGCGGGCCGTTCCCCTTCCTCGATACCTCTCCTGCCTCGAGCCTCCTCGACTCGCTCGTGCCGTCCCTCGTCGCCGCGTCCCTTCCCCCTGTCGCCCGTCCCGTCCCGCCTCGCTCGCGCCTCCCTCCCTCTCTCTCTTTCGAGGCCGCACCCTGACGCACCCCTCCCCTCCCTCCCTTGCCCCACCTCGACGGACGTATAGCCCAACCGCACGCCAACCATGTGCGCGCGTCGGTGGCGCCGCCGCCCGAAACCTTCGGGCACGACCTCGTCGTCGGCCGCCAAAGTCGAGCGCATGGTGTGGACGCCCGAGGAGGACGAGCGGCTCAAGGTCGCCGTGCAGCAGTGGGGCGAGAACTGGGACGTCGGTGCGTCGCCTGTTTCTCTCTCTCTCTCGCAAGCGCCCCCTCTCGCCCACCTCACTCACTGACCCTCTCTCGCCCCTCGCCCAGTCGCGCGCCACATCTCTGTCCCCGCCGCCGTGTGCCGCCTGCGGTTCCAGAACTCTCTCCGTCCCTCGCTCGCGCGCGGGCGCTTTACGCCCAACGAGGACGCGCTCCTCGTCGC